TTTTTTTTCCATTTTTGAAACTCTATTTTACAATACATGATGACAAGTTTACCATCATTTTTACATAATCAACTAACAATGTTGTAAAGATGCAGGAAATGTCAAACAAACACTTTTACGAATCTTATTAGTTAAATAATGAGACTGTTAACATGCCTAAGAATTGAATCTGAGGAAATGTGAAAAAACAGCATAACTTATAAAATAATGGCCCGATTATGCTGATTTTCGAACTTGACCTGCATTTTAGTAAGACTGATTACTCCTGTGAGTTTCATGACAACAGGTCTATCGGTTTTCCTTGAAATGTGTTAACAGTGTTGCATATATGCTGAAAAGTGAAAAAACAGCATAACTACTAAAATAGTGGCCCGATCATGCCGATTTTCGAACTTGATCTGTGTTTTAGTAAGATTGATTATTCCTGTGAGTTTCATGACAACAGGCCTATCGGTTTTCCTTGAAATGTGTTAACAGTGTTGCATATATGCTAAAAAGTGAAAAAACAGCATAAATTCTTCAATAATGGCCCGATCATGCTGATTTTCGAACTTGACCTGCGTTTTATGAATATTAGTCAGCTCTGTTAATATAAAACCAAAAAGTAAAACTGTCTTCCGCTTATGGTGTTAACGCTGAAAGTGCACGGCGACGGCGACGGCGACGGCGACGACAGACGCAGGTGATGGCAATATGTACAGACACATCTGTGTCTGTACATAAAAAAAAAAAAAATCTGCCAATGATTAAAAGTATGAACAGGTCTTATAAATACTGCTGGCTGCCCTACCTTTCATGTCCCTGTGTAATATCTGGTTATCATGCAGGTATGCCAGCCCCCTGAGCACTTGCTGAGTGTAACTGGTGATCACTACCTCACTGAATGGTCCATAAGTGGCCAGGAGACAGGCCACAGCACCACCTGGTGAGTAAACATACATTTAAAATTTATAGTTGAAGTGGAAACTGTGAAAAAATAGCCACATTGCTGCTTTGGACTTCTCACATCTCATAAAATCCATCTCACTGCACAAAAAGATTCATAAAAAACACCTCTGAAGGAGAACCATGCAAAAAGAAGAAAATGGAAAATCATCAGAACCACAATTTCTGGTTTATTCAAATTTTTCAGCATATTTTTTAAAAACACATACATTCAGAATAATTTAGCATAAAGCATAAAATAATTTAGAGATGGGACAAAACTTTTTCAATAATTTCACCCAAAATACAGAGATTTTCTATAGCCATCAACCTGCCAAAAGGAGAGAAGTTCTCGTCTTTGCTAATAGCTCACCTGGCATCCACTCCACAAACATGTTAAAATGGCAACCCTGTCTGGTGGCTCCAAGTATTCTGACTACATTGACATGGTTCAGCTTGGCCATCATACGAATCTCATCTTCTATTGCCTCAACCACCTGAGCTTGCTCTACAGCTGTGTTTCTACAGAACGAGATCTGGAATGGAAATAAGTAGAAAACATTTACCTTGCAATAACTTTCCATTTTTACATCAAGAAGTAAATGGTCAGATTCTAGTCCTTCCAGTAACCGGAGATTGCCCTTCTCTGAGCATTAAAATAATTCAGAATTGCATAAAACAAAAAAAACTTGAATGGGGCAACACCTTTCACTGAAAAAAATAGATAAATATGAAAGGATCATCACAACTGATTTCTATTTCCAACTTGTCATACTAAACTGCATACATTTATGGGGCTTGCAATTAGTTTGACTAATTCATACCCTCAGAAATACCAAAAACGCACAAAATCTACCAAAAGACCCAATTTCAAGTTATTCACAAATGGCTGACCTGTTTTACTGCCATAATGGTCCCAGTCTTGACGTCCCTGGCCTGATAGCAGGTACTGTAGGCACCAGTGCCAATCAGAGGGCCACGCTGCCAGTGTATGCCATCCAAGTAGGCCTTGGGCTGAGGCTCATCATTTTCTCCACCTCCCTGTAATATGGAAATGTGTGGTGTCTGTTTTATCATCTCTGTTTCCAACATGTTGAAACCATGATGCTTTAAATTAAAGTTTTATAATATTTGAAATATTGGTTTGATGCATTGGGACCCTTAAAATTCTCTGGAATAAGTTAGATAGGCAAAACAATTGTTATAATATAAATATTTGACCTATTAGTCTATTGACACAAAATATATGATGTTCCATCATCAAACTCAAGGACTCTTTCCTCCAACACACTATATTCTCTTCTACCAAAACCACCAAATAAATACATACATACAACTTTCATTAATTTGCTCTCACCTCATCCTGAATATGGATGGTAATCTCGTCTTTCTCCCTGCTGCCCAGCTGTGGAATGATAGGTAAATCTTCCTGTTTAGTGGAAGCCTCCATGGCAGCTGCCAGGGCCTGGGCCTCCTCGATCTCCACCTCCTCCTTACAGTAACAGGGATCAGACGAGGCACCTGGACAGTAATAATTAGCAAGATTTAACAAGAGGAGTAATACTTTTAATACAAAAGTATGCATAATATGCAGTAGTGCTACGCTAATACCTGGGTACCCTCAGGTCTAGACTGATAGAACAAATCATGAATGAAGGAATGAAGGAATGAATGTACAACAAATGCATTAAATTAAAAAGAATTTATAAAACAATAAATAATTGCTAAAATTTCATTCCACATCCGTCAAATTTCTAAGGGAAAACAATAAGAGTAACAATGTGAACATCACAAACCATCATCCTGGCTTGCGTCCGGCGACACCCTGGGCGAGGACGCCACTTCAGTCTTGAAAGACACCGGCTTCTCATCCAGTCCTGCTGGAGACAGTGTCAACTCAGTGGAGTCCTCTGTTGATAAAATGGAATACCTTCTGCAAGCAGAACACAAGTAAGTTTTCTTGGGTGAACATGGCTCCTGTGGCAACCGAAATTTATCCTCACAGGGACAAGGTTTTATAAGACAGTTACAGTTCAGTGGTGCTGCCTGTGCCTCGTCCTGTCTGTCATCACAGTTTCCATATCCCTGTGCTTTGTGATGTGCATTTTCACCACAAGATGGCAGTGAAGGCTGTATCTCCTCTTGGTCCCTATTACCCTGTGATTTATGATGCATGTGGATCCCATGTGGCTGTGGGGGCTCTATACAGTCACATTCCAGTTGCTTTGTTGTAATATCTCCCCAATCTTTTGGCTGAGCCCCAGCCAAAGGTGACGAGGTAGACTCTGATTGTGGAACCTTCTTTGCAGAAAGAGATACCTGCTCCTTGTCCAGTGATTGCTGCAATGGAGTGTTGGGTGGAGTCAATAAGACTGGATTTGCTTGCTTAAGATTCCTGTTGGCATCTTTGGCAGTTTTTGTACCAGAAACATGGTTCTCTGCATTACCAGGCAATTCTCCATTCACATTACTTCTGTCTGTGGTTTCTTCCAACTTCTTTGTATCACCATCAACATGATTGTCCTGTGCAATTGCACTCTTTGAACCTGCGGCTGCTTCATCTGGTTGTACTGAAGCCTCAAGTCCGTTTTCCCCTAAGAATTCATCTTGGTGAGTTTGCTCCTCAACATCATTGTCATTTGGCACATTGTTATTCTGTAAATCAGAACCCAACTCATTATTATTGGGAGTCATGTTATCAAGTCTGTTATCCTCACCAATACCATCATTACAGTCTCCATCCTCGGTGGGAGTCTGGGGCATTGGACTGGAACCCTGACTTGATGGGAGAGGCATATCAGGGGAGAGAGACCTTGGGGTATCAGAGCCTTCTCCCCTATCCCCAGGGATCTCAAAATCAACCGCTGGGCCATTCTGATATGTGATATTATGGTAAGGCACTAGCAATGCAGGTTCTGTGAAAATATGAGCCAGATGCCGCAGCATCCGAATGTGCAAGCTGGAGTCTAAGTGGTTCAACATTTCCTTGACTTCGGAGAAAATTCCTGGAATGTGGGCCGTGGGTCTGACTGCAAATATGAACGTCCTCCTGGCAAGCTTGGCTATCCTCTGGTGACTGTGTTTCAAGGCTTTGAAGACGAAGTTCAGAACAGCATGGAGTCTCGGGTGGTCTGAGATGTGCTCTCCTCTGGCAGCCTCCACTGTGAACTCTAGGGGGAATTCCTCCATGAGACGGTCCAAGGCACACAGGCGTCCCAATAACCACTGCCACTGAACCTCCTCCAGTGTGTACTCCTCCAACATACATGTCAGTATGAACGACACGCCTCCAATACCACCCTGACCTGGAATTAAATATATATATCATTTAATACTGCATGGCTTTCATTTAGGTATTAGTTATTTGCTGTTGTTTAAGAACATTACTGGAAATTTGTGATAAGGTATTTAGATAACTCTGTAGAATTATAACCCTTTCTTTTTCTGTGTAACTGTGATCAAGATTGTCCCCCTCCCTGCCATGAGTACATGAATCAAGGACAATACAACTGCATATTAAAGACATTCAAGATACGACTGATAAGACATACACTAAGAGTGGACCTGATCTATTACCCGAATTGAATATCTCTCTTCCAATGGCAAGCTCCCCAGATTGCCCTTTGCCCAGTTCTACTATGGTAGAGATGGACAACAAGCTTGTGCGTCTGAAAAAAAAAGGAAAATTGAAAGAAATTGTGATGGACAGTCTTGACTTTTAAAACTTTTCTATCAGTTTCCTGAAAATGGGCAAATCCTATGCTCCATCATTAAACCTTTATTATTTTATGCTCCCCCTAAATTAAACTTTCAGTAAGTTTCTAAGAAAATTTAATTCAGAGGCATTGTCTTCAAACCTTTGTAGTACAATGAAAAATTAATGCAAAATTAAAAGATTTGTCATAATAAAGTCACCTGTTCCCATCTGCACATTTAATCAGTATTGTATTCAGTACAGGGACCAACAAATCCTGCAGCTCTTTCCTCTGAGTGTCATCTCGGCAGGGTACATATGCCAGCACTGTTCTCAAAGTTTTCTGTAATAAACAAGGTATTTTGTAAGAGGCATAGGTATAGGTATAAAAAAAAACATTATTTAGCACCTTTTGTATTCTTTCACACTGAAAAGGTTTTATCAATCAGAACTGAAACTTTAAAACATTTACCTGTTTAAATCTTATCTTTCTTGTTGGCCATAAGCTTAAGGAACTTTTCAAAAAGTTATCAGTTCAACCCTATGTAAATTCTCAAAAACTAAAAAAGAGGTCTTTAAGACAAATCTGTGACATTTGGCAGAGCAGACACCTCCCCCCTTCAGTTTTCAATAAAGACATGATGAACGAAGTCAAGTCAAGCATACTTAATCCTTGCCCTGCACCACCACCCCCCCCCCCCCCATCCCCAAAAGACCCAAACAAAAAATCTACAGTCTCTTAGCTGACTTTACCTACTTCTTAATATACCTACCAATGCAGCCACAAACACTCTATACACAGGGTCTCCACACATCAGTGCCAGGATGCTGAAGCAGGTAGACAGCATCTGTGTTTTGGCCTCGTGTCTGTCTGAGGACACTCTGGCCCCAGTGCGGCCCTCCCCAGACGCTGGCAGGAAGACAGCCACCGCTTCCTGAGAAACCCTTCTCAGACCCGTCTCCCGCACTGTCCAGTTCTTTGAGAAGAGGCAAGAGATGAGGTCCTCACCTAAAATCTGAAAAAGCAACAACATTTGATATGTTTGGTTACAAGTTCTGATATTTCATATAGTTTGAAAATACATCTAGACCTAATCAAACTACTGTATTTAGAAGCATTCCTTTTCTTACGCATTGCCAAAAAGACCATACATCATGATATAAATTGGTACTGATTTTTGATGATGAAAATGGTAATTCTTTTTTACAGTACTCTTTTATGCTTATTATATTGAATAAATTTATGAGTTTTGAAATGACTACCTCTATCCAAGGAGCTGCCATGTCCCTGTGTTCCTGAGGCAAAGGATCTGCATGGGGTAATACAACCTCTTCATGGGGTTGAGCAGGTGGGGGTGGGTGGGGCAGGCTGACGGCAGGGCTACCAGATGGCACTGTGACACCCTCCTCTGGAGAC